CCACGGAATTCCCGCAGGCCTACCACGACATGTTCTGGAAAGCCAGCATGTCCGAATCACAAACGCCATGCTCCTACACCATAAACAACCAGCCTCAAAGTTATCCCTATCCCTACGATGGGCGGGCACAAAGCGAGGACAATCTTAGGGATATGCCCTCAGAAACTAAGGGAATCCTTAAGATCGGCATCGAGGTGAGGTGATGTCAAACATAGGCATGGGGATATGCTTCAAACTGGTACATAAACCCGATGTGTGAAAACGAGACGCTCTCAGCCAGAAAGGCTCTAGGAACACCGCGTGCAGACCACCACCTCGCCATCGCTCGGACGTCCATTTCCTGTGTCTTGTTCGGTTTCGTGCGTGGCTTTTTCGCCAAATGATCAAGGATGCTCCTCGACGGTCCTCGCCGACGGAAAAATGCATACGTCCGAGCGATGCCAAGCCACAGGCTCTCACAGCATTCTTCGGTGGGCCTGGCAGGTGAGCCGGGACGCTTCGCCACCGCCTGGCTCTGCCGGCGGCGAGGCCGCCTCTGGAGCGCCCTCCCGAGGGCTGGGCCCCATCTGTGGCGAGCCATGGAGCGTGTCCTGATGCGGAGGAGGAGGAGCAGGAGGAGGAGGAGGAGGAGGAGGAGGAGGAGGAGGACGAGGAGCAGGATGAGGAGGAGGAGGAGGAGGAGGAGGAGGAGGAGGAGGAGGGGGAGGAGGAGGAGGAGAGGGGGGAGGATGAAAAGGAGGAGGAGGAGGAGGAGGAGGAGGAAAAGGAAGACGAGGAGGAGGAGGAGCAGTGGCGGAGGAGGAACGTGCCCGCCCTCTCCTCCCCCTCCCAGACCTTCCCCGAGGGTAGGAAAACAGCACCAAGACAGGGCTGAACCTAAACGGTGTCTTTCGTTTCCGTTTCGTTTTCGTTTTCCCTAGTTCTGTCTTCAACCCACCTCTGCCGCAAAACGAAGCCGAAACGGAAACGGCCCACGAAATCGCCCAAGCACCGTTTAGGCCCGGCCCTGCACGCAAGACCTCGACGCCCAAAACCTGGCCGAGGCTGTAGGCAGTTAAAACAAGGCTAGGATCGGGATAAATCGCTCCAGAGCGTTCCGGAGCGCTCTCAGAGCGTTCCGGAACGCTCTGGAGCGGCCGCGGCGCCCAATACATCCTCCAAACCCGCCGATTCTCAGAGATTTCGAGTTATCCCGATCCGATTTTGTCCCGATCTTCGCGTCGTTTTAGCAGTCCAGCTGGGTCCACAGGCCTGGAGGGCTATATATTTTTGTTGGCCCGGGCGGCTGCTCTGCACCTCTGGGGGCGCGTCCTGGAGCGTGTCCCCTGTTCTGCGCAGGGGCCGACCGTCCCGGCATTCCTATAGTCCTACCACGAAGTGTTCTTCGAACCCCAAAAATGTTCTAAGAACAAAAACAATATTCTTAGAACATGAACCCGATGTGTGAAAAGAAAACAGCCCCAGCCAGGAATGTTCTGAGAACATTTCCTGGAAGCCACAAAAAGGTTCTTAGAACATGGTTTGGTGGGGCTATAGGGAAGCCGGGACGCTTCGCCACTGCTTGATCTGGGGCGCGTCCCGAAGCGTGCCCCCTCGGGGCGCGCCTCGGGCTGGGACCTCTCGGCGCGAGCCCGGCCGTGGGGGCGAGCCCCCCCGCCCCCCCCCCCCCCCGGAGGCCCCGGAGATCTTCGGCGCGCCGCAGTGCGAGAGAGAGGGGGGGAAAAGGGAGAGCGAGAGAAAGGAAGAGAAAGGAAGAGAGAGAGAGAGAGAGAGAGCGAGAGAGAGAGAGAGAGTGTGGGAGTGAGAGCGAGAGGGATGGGGAGAGGGGGGGAGGGTTCTTGGAAGGAGGCAGCTCCCCAGAAGGCGCCGGCCTTCCATCCATAGAGAAGGCGCTTTGCCTTCCAAGAAGCAGGGGTGCCCCTAAGAAGCCTTCCCCCCTCCCCCGTTCCCTTCGGTCGGGCATGTCCTACTCCGGCAGGCGGAATCTGGCGGATTTAGGACGAACATAGAAAATGGTGAAACACAAATCTTCAAAAATAATATAAAATCGCTCCCAGACGATATTTTGACTACTTTGGAATACTCCTCCTGTGGAGGGACAGGGGCGGCTTAAACGTCGTCCCCCCCTCTGCGCGTGGCCGCGAAGAGGCGCGAGCCCGGCCGTGGGAGGGGCAAGCCAGCTCGCGGGAGGCAGCGGCAACGGCGGCGGAGCGCCAGCAGAAGGTCGGGCGTGTCCTCCTGCAGGCGAGCTTTGGACTAAACCAATCTTAAAACATTGAAAAAGGTTATTCCAAAATTCGCCGGCCCAACGGGCCAGAGGCGTGCTAAGATCGTAACTGCTAAATAATACTTCTACTTCGCGCGCGCGGGGCGGCCCCTGGGGGTCCCCGGACGAAAAGTACCCCGGGCGATCCCCGGCAGACTCGGATCAGAGATGGTTTTCCTCCTGGGCGCCGCCCCCGTGGCCCTCCAGAGAGCCCCAAGAAGGACCACGAGGCCGCCAAGAGCCCTCCAAGATGGTTCAAGAGTGCTCCGAGATGCCACACGATCGTTCCAAGACGCCCAAGATGGCCCCCAGACGCCCCAAGAGGCCTCCAAGAGCACTCCCCAGAGGGCCCCAAGAGGCAAAATTCATTACTTTTCCTTAGGTTTTGGGCAGATTTTGGCGTGTCCATCTTTTCGGCTTCCCGACGCCCCAAGACGGCCCAAGAGGCCCCCAAGATCGCCCCAAGAGGGCCCAAGAAGCTCCCAAGAAGGCCCCAAGATGGCCCAAGAGGGCTCCAAGACGGCCCCAGAGGCATCCAAGACGGCCCAAGAGGGGCCCAAGAGGGCCCCAAGCGATGCCCCAAAGGGGGAACACAAAACAAAACTTCGAGCCCTCGGCCTTAAGAAGCCCCCAGGAGGCCTCAAGAGGCCCCTGAGAGGCCCCCAAAGCCCCCAAGAGGCCCTCAGGAGGCCCCCAAGCGACGCTGAAGAGGCCCCCAAGCGACCCCAAGAGGCTCCCCAAATGCCCCCTCCAGCACGCAAGCAAATGCCAAGGACCCGACGCGTTTGAGAGCCCACCACAACCCCCCAAAGTCCCCAAATCCGGCAAGGCTCCGAAGAGGCCCCAAAAATAATCATCAACACTTCATCCTAAGAAACTGCCTAGAGCTCTCCGAAGCGACCCCGAGCTTACCCAGGAGGACTCTAACCTTCTACCAAGGCACGGTGGCAAGATCCCCTTCGAAACTTTTCGGCCCTCCTGGACAGCCCCGGCTAATCTCGAAAGTCTGCAGAGGTCTCTCGGGCCATCTTGCCACTCTCGCCCCGCTGCTGCCCAGCTACGCGTCTTCCACAAGCGCGGTGGCGGATATGCGCGGCTCAGTCATGCGAAATGGACCGGCGGAATGAGCGAAATGATTCAATAATCAAAAGATGCTACAAAAATCGTCCCCAGACTATTTTTTACTGTTTCTGAATACTCCTCCTGTAGAGGGGCACGCCCGACTTACGCCCAAAATGAGAATCGATGAGTCGCACCGACGATCAAACCGAGTCGAATATCGGCGGAGACCGGCAGGCCAGTACGCTTCGGATCAGAGATCGGAAGCCCAAAATCGGACTCCGACGTCGAGTCGGAATCGGAGGCCATCGAAGTCGAATCGGATCGAACCGGAGATCGGCAGGCGAGGACGCTTCGGATAAAAGATCGGAAGTCACATCGGAATCCGAAGTCGAGTCGGAATCGGGGGCCATCGAAATCGAATCGGATCGAGCCGGAGTCGTCGAACAGAGCCCTGGCCTTGCTCCTCCTGGGCGTCCGACGGCGAAGCGCATCACGACCGTGCGGAAGTCGGAGCGATCGAGATGGGTGAGGAAAGAGTGGGTACAGTGCCCAACAGCAGCCCCTGTTCGTTTTGAACAGGGCTCGCTGTCCGCGCCGCCGCGGACGCCGTCCACTGAAGACAGAAAGCCGCCTGCGCAACAGCGGCCGCTGTCGGTTTCGGACAACATGTGCTGTTTTTCAGATTTCGTAATAAAAGAGAGGGGGTCTGAACCCTCCAAGACAAGCCATTTCAGACCTCCCCCGTGGGAGAACCCTCCAAAACATCGTCCCCAGAGCCCCCAGGCCCTCCAAGATAGCCTGGAAAAGACCCCCTTCCCTCTATTACGGAATCCGGAGTACCCATTTTTCCGTACACATTTCGGGCGTCCCAAGGAAGGATCGCGGCCCCATCTTGCTGCGGGGCTCCCCGCGCCGGATCGATGCGCGGTGGCCACGGGGCACGAAGCGGGCAAAGAGTCCCCGACGAGGCGGAAACCTCGGACATCCTCCTCCTCCTCCTCCTCCTCCTCCTCGTTCCCCTCTACTCTTCCATCCTGTCCTCTCCTCCTCCTCCACTCTTGCTCTTGCTCTTGCTCCTCCTCCTTCTCCTCCTCCTCCTCCTCCTCCTCCTCCTCCTCATCATCATCATCATCACCATCAGCATCAGCAACAGCATCATCATCATCATCATCATCATCATCATCATCATCAGCATCATCATCTGCATCATCAGGATCAGCATCAGCATCATCAGCATCATCAGCATCATCATCATCAGCATCATCAGCATCATCATCAGCATCATCATAATCCTCCTCCTCCTCATCATCATCAGCATCAGCATCAGCATCAGCATCATCAGCATCATCAGCATCAGCATCAGCATCAGCATCATCATCATCACCTTCATCTTCATCATCATCACCATCATCATCACCATTTTCAACATAATTATCATCATCGTCATCATCATCCTCATCCTCATTATCATCCACATCCTCATCCTCATCCTCATCATTATCGGCATCATCATAATAATCATGATCAGCATCGTCATCATCAGCCTCATCCCATCATCTGCATCATCAATATCATCCTGATTATCATCCTTATCCTCCTCCTCCGCCTCCTCCTCCTCCTCCTCCTCCTCTTCTCTCGTCGCCTTTCTCCGTCTCCCCCCTGTCGCGAAGGCGGAATCTCCGGGCTCTCGCGCTTGTACGCCTCCTGGACCAGGGCCCCGCAGCCAGCCCGCGCGTCGGCCGCCGGGTCTTTGGCGTCGTGGAGGAGGTTCAGCTCCTCCACGACGTCCTGGGATGAGGGGGGGGCGGGATGGCGGAAAAGGAGGGGGGGGAGAAGGACCAGGGAGATAAGAACGACGTCGAGATTGACGCTCCCAGCGAGGTCCTTGTCCTGCATGACGGCGGAGATGCCGCCCGACACCTCGGCGCGGCCGCGTGGGCCCGAGCCCGAGGCGGACCGCGCGGAGCCCCCCCCCCCGAGGCTCGGGCGCCCCGCTTCGAAGTCCCTCCCCAGGCCGTCTTGAACAAACTCCGGAGGGAAGTTGCTTCGCGGCGCTCTCGCGGCCCTGCCGATCGTTGAATGCGACGCGGCAACATCGGCATGCGTGCTCAGGGTTCGGCCCCCCTCCCACCCCCCGGCCCAACCACATGCCTCTGCCGGAGCAAGCTAGCTATCAAAGGCTCCCGTCCTCCCTCCCTCCATCCGTTTCCTCCTCCCTCCTCGCTCCGCTACCCCCTCCTCGCCCACGCTCCTCGGCCCTCTCTCCCCTCCCCTGCCCCCTCCTCGTCCCCCTCCGCGTCGCCGCCGCCGCACAGAACGCGAGCAACCTCCCAGCTGACGGGGGGGCACCATCGCCGCAAACTTGGTCGACTCGTCGAGTTGGACGGTCCTGACCCCAGGTGTCGCGATGAGGAGCGCCTTCCCCGACGCCGCCTGAGAAGGCGCGCCCCGGTTCCTTCTCCTCCTCCCCCCTCGTCCCTGGTCCCTCGTCCCTCCTCCTCCTCCTCCTCCTCCTCCTCCTCCTCTTCCTCCTCCTCGTCCTCCTCCTCCTCCTCGACCTCCTCCACCTTCCTCCCTCGTGCCTCCTCTCCCCCTCCCTCCCTCCCTCCCTCCCTCCCTCCCTCCTCGCTCCCTCCTCCATCCCTCCCTCCTCCCTTTTCCTCCTTCTCCTCTCTCCTCCTCCTCCTCCTCCTCCTCTACTCTCCCTCCTCCCCTCCTCCTCCTCCTCCTCCTCCTCCTCCTCCTCCTCGTGTCTCCTCATCGTTCTCGTCCTCGCCTCGTCCTCGCCCTCCCAGCTTTTCTTTCCGTTCTGCCCACGGGCGCCGGCCTGCCCCCCCCCCTGGTCACCACGGCCGTGTACAGCTCCCGGAATACGGCGGGCGTGTGAATTGTGTGTGTGCGTGTGTGTGCGTGTGTGTGTGTGTTGTGTGTGTATGTATGTGAGTTGTGTGTGTTGTGTGTGTGTGCTTGGGTCTGTTGTGTATGTGTTGTGTGTTGTGTGTGTGTGTGCGTGTGCGTGTGCGTGTGCGTGTGCGTGTGCGCGTGCGTGTACGTGTACGTGTGCGTGAGCGTGTGCGTGAGCCTGTGCGTGTGCGTGTGCGTGTGTGTTGTGCGTGTGTTTTGTGCGTGTGTGCGTGTGTGCGTGTGTGCGTGTGTGTGTGCGTGTGTGCGTGTGTGTGTGTGTGTGTGTGTGTGCGTGTGCGTGCGTGCGTGCGTGTGTGCGTGTGTGCGTGTGTGCGTGTGTACGCGTGTGTACGCGTGTGCGCGTGTGATCGTGTGCGTGCGTGCGTGCGTGCGTGCGTGCGTGTGTGCGTGTGTGCGCGTGTGCACATGTGTGCGCATGTGTGCGCATGTTTGCGCATGTGTGCGCATGTGTGCGCAGGTGTGCGCAGGTGTGCGCAGGTGTGCGCAGGTGTGCGCAGGTGTGCGCAGGTGTGCGCAGGTGTGCGCGTGTGTGTGTGTGTGTGTGTGTGTGTGTGTGTGTGTGTGTGTGTGTGTGTGTGTGAGTGTGCGTGTGCGTGTGCGTGTGCGTGTGCGTGTGCGTGTGCGTGTGCGTCTGTGCGTCTGTGCGTCTGTGTGGTCTGTGTGTCTGTGTGTCTGTGTGTCTGTGTGTCTGTGTGTCTGTGTGTCTGTGTGTCTGTGTGTCTGTGTGTCTGTGTGTCTGTGTGTCTGTGTGTCTGTGTGTCTGTGTGTCTGTGTGTCTGTGTGTCTGTGTGTGTGTGTCTGTGTGTGGATTCCCGCCAGACGTCCAGCCATGTGGGGCACCCACCGCCCAGCGGAGGACCTCGTCGTCGGCCCGCCCTGGCCTCGTGGCAGGCCGCCGCCGCTGTCGACGGGGTCCGCCGACGTGGACGCAAACCCTTCTGGGGGAAGACGTGACGGGCGTTCGCTACTCTGCCCCGCCTCGGGCCAACGGGACATTCGCGGGCCGATCTGGCCCGAGAGGATCCGCGTGGAAACGGGGTCGGGAGCCCCCGTCGCGCTGTCTCTCCAAGTTCTCTTCTGCAACTGCGTCGGATGCCTGGGTCCACCTCCTCCTCCTCCTCCTCCTCCTCCTCCTCCTACTCCTCCTCCTCCTCCTCCTCCTCCTCCTCCTCCTCCTCCTCCTCCTCCTCCTGCTCTTCCTCCTCCTCCACTTGTTCCTCCTCCTCCTCCTCCTCCTCCTCCTCCTGTTCCTCCTCCTCCTCCTCCTCATCCTTTTCCTCCTCTTCCTCCGCCTCCTCCTCCACCTCCAACTCTTCCTCCGCCTCCTCCTCCTCCTGCTCTTCCTCCTCCTCCTCCGTCTGTTCCTCCCTCTGCCCCTCCTCCTCCTCCTCTTCCTCCTCTTCCTCCTCCTCCTCCTCCTCTTCCCCCTTCTCCTCCTCGTCGAGAGCAGCGCGAACACGTCTGGGTTGATGTCGCCTCCCAGGTGCCCCGACAAAGAGAGGCACTGACCGCTGGCATTCGCGACCCACTGGGCCGCGACAGCAAGTGGAAGGCCAGGATGAGGCGCGCTGCTGTCCTGTCCCGTCCCTGTTCCTGGGCAGCCACGGACAAGGCTAAGGGCACCTTCGCAGGCGTGGGCGCCCGCATCTCGACCGGCTCGAGGTTGCGCCAGCGAGCCACCGCGGCCCGCGCAGGCCTCAGTTGATCCCAGGTCTGTGGCCATCGGAACTGTGCGCCAACAAAGGTCTCCGACCCCCAGGAGTACAGCGCCTACGAATCCTGAAGGTATGGAATGTAGGCGGCAATCGTTGCATCGAGCAGCTCGGTGTTACGAGCGACGTTGCCGGGACGGGGTAGGCCATGGTCCTGGAGCCACCAGCCCCACTTATCAAGCGAATTGATGTATCGGCGGCCAGCCGTAGGCTTCACCGTCACTCGGAAGTTCCTTCCGGACCGCGAGTCTGCCCGGCGCGCGAGCGAACCTCGATGCCCGCCGGTGTCTTCACCTGGAAGCCCCAGCTAGCTGCAGAAAGCCCCAAGGAGCATCAGCAGCGCGGCGAGCGGCAGCGCACGTCGAGCTGCTCGGTTATCGTATCGCACCACTCGCTGGAGCACTCTGCTGCCACCTCCGTCAGGTGCCGCCGGACGCAATCGCACTTGATGCCGCCTTCTAGGACGAGGTGCTCGCTGCCGCGCTCGCACCACCTCGCCCTCAGGGGGAGGGCGGTTAAACCTGAGGTTCGCCGCCGTTTCCAGGTGGTGGTCTTTCGCCAGCGCCTGCCCCGCGCGCTCCAGTCCATGAGTCCATGACGCACTCGTAGAGCGGACCGCGAGTTGCCGATTGCCTCCTTGAAAATTTGGCGCGGCCCAAATGGCCGCTGGCGTGCCCCGGCGGGCCGCGAGCGCAGGCCCATGAATCGCGAGACGGTTTCGCAGGTGGGCCCCGCGGCGGCCGCCAGCGGCTTGGACCTCACCGCGAGCTCGATCTCGCAGAGAAGTACGTCGGGGTCGGCGAGGCCCTCGAGCGGCCCACGCTGCGCGCCCGAGGCTCACGGCGATCCGCACGAGGCGCTTCAGAGCTGCGCTCAGGGTGGCCCCTGGCCCGCTGAAGGCCCCTTTGAAGACGGGCGGACGACGCCCGGCGACCGAGCGACGCACGCGCGCGATCCAGTCCCAGAGTTTTTCGGCGGTAGCGATGGACTCTGCGATCTCAGGAAGGCGCGGCCTGGCCTTGCGCATCTCAGATCCTCTCGTTGGGCCATCTGCAGGATGGTGGGCGCTGCGCTCCCGGAGAGGAGTGGGCGTTGCGCTTTCGGAGAGGAGGAGAAACCGAACCCTGCGAACAGCGAAGACGGGAGGGCCATGGAGAAGACCCCGTCCAGAACCCTGCTGGACGATCGCCTTCGGAGAGCAACGCTCCGTGCAACGCGTGAGTCTATGAGTACTGGGATACGCTCGCCATGGACGCTGGGGCTCTTGACCGCCAGCATGACCAGCGATCGCAGGCGACGGCCTCCTGCGCGTTGATGCGGCGACGCCCCAGTGACCTGCAGCTACGCAAGGTGCTGAACTGCTTGGACCCGATCCAGGAACGCAGGAGATGATCGCCACGCATGCCCACTTCCGAGGACCTCGAGAGGCCCATCGGGATCTTGGGAGGCGCCAACTGGTCTGAGCCTCGCCGCGCCTGTCCGTCGGGTAGCTCGCGCTCAATGTCAGACTGCCTCCCCCGCGAAGTGCGTCGCCAGCGCGACTCCCCCGGCGAAGGGGGCGGCGTCTGCGGCGAAGACCTGCCCTGCCGAAGCGGAGTCGACCAAACTCCTGAACAATGGGGGCAAAAGGGCCAGTCCGACCAACGCGTCGGCCACCGCGCCTGGGGGCCTGCGCCGCGCCGCGGGGCCCGCCCCGGGCGCGGCGCGGCCCGTCGGGACATCAGCAGGCAAACCCAGCGCCCGACAGGCCTCACCTATCAGCGTGACGGCGCCGACGTGGCGCATGCGGTGATTGCGCTGGATTCCAGGAGCTTCACGACCGCTCCGCCGACGTCGAACCGCTCAGGAGAGCTCGCCCCCCCGGACTATTGCGCGCGGCCTCTCCAGAGTCGCCCACTCCTCCATTCTCTGAATTCTGACCTGGTCGCGCGACTGGCGCCCCCGACGGGCGCGTTGAAGGGGCGCCTGCCGGATCGGGCCAGGAGCGTCGGGGCCAACGCAGAGCCCGGCGACCACGCGGCCATCGGAGTAGACCCCCTCCACCACGCGATCCGCAAGGGCGGCCCGACCATAGGCGAATCGCCCCCCGCCGCGGAGGCACCCCGCGGACCGCAGGCAATGCCAGCGCGCGAACTGGGCCGCCCTTAGCGCTGTCTGGCCCCCCGCGGCAGGCGCAGCCAGGGCCAGCGCGAATTGGTCAAGGCTGCGCTGGCGGAGGTAGTCAACCTCGTATAAAGCCCCTGTCCCAGGAACTCGTTCGCCCTGGAATCAAAGACGAGGATGGCCTTCTGGGCCCAGGCTCCCGCCCACTGCGGGCGGTAGAAGAAATCCCAAGCATCGTCCGCGGGGATCCACAGGCGCCCGCCCGTCGGGAGAAACAGCGCCGTGAACATGGGCGCCGTGGTCGGCGGCGAGCCAACGGTGGGGGCATCGGCCGATGGGGATCTCTGCGGAGAGCGCGCGCTCGCGGAGGACCTCATCCAAGGACTTCTCCAAGGAATTGCGCCGGCGCCTGTCGACGACCACCTCCGGCCCGCGGTCGGCCTCGGACTGGCAGACTGGGAGGCCCACGCGGTGCCGAAGCCTCCTGGGGCTCTCGAGCCGCAGCGACCGCGCGCCCCCGACGCGCGCGGCCACCGCGGCCCAGTGATCCACGCGCATGCGCACAGCAGTATATGGCTGGGGAAGCGATCCGGTTTGAGGTCGAGGGCGCGCGTCGCGCGGAGGATGAAGCCGCGCCGGGGCGGCTCGACGGCCTCGCGGAGCACTGTCGCCGCCCCTTTGGACGGGGTGCCCAGGCCGGCTGATGCGAGGGCGAAAGGCTCCACAACGCGTGCGCTGCCTCCAAAGCACGCGCCGCCCACGGCTCCATGGGTGCCAGCGACGCCGCCGCTCAGGAGCGGCGTTGGCTCCTCGACGCGGCCAGCCACAAATCATGTCGCCAAGCTGTCGCACCTGCTGCCATTGCCTCTCGGTCAGGGGCGCCCGAGCGAGAGTCAGGAGAGGCGGGCGACGGCCATGCTGACCCAGCGCCGCCGCCGCATCGCCCGAAGCCACCGCGCGTGCTTGCGGCGACAGCGGCGCAATTCTACTCTCGGGCCAATCGTCAGGGAGCCCGCGAGGCATGAGAAGCTCCGGACCTGGCAAGGGGGCACGCTGCCCCGCCCGGGGTGAATTCGGAGATCCCCGCCTCAAGGAAACTGCAGAACGAGGTCGACAGGCCGGGTGCATAAGAGGGCGCGGATCACCGAGTCAACAATGGCTCGGAAAGCAATAGGAGTCGTTGGAGAAGACGACGAAGGCCTGGCTCCCGACCTGGCCGCCCTCGGTATTTCCATGTGATGTCGGCCCACCTGGAGACGATCGCTCGCCTCCCGCGCCCCCGCTGCCGCCCTCCTGCCCCTCCGCGTTGATCCACTTCTCGGCTGTCTTGCCCCAGGCGCGGCCATTGTCGGTCACTGCTGGCGCCTCCGGCCCTCGCCCCCTCTCGAGGGCGTTCTCGGGGGCCTCGGTCTCGCGGACTTTGGCATCTGAGGCTGCGGACTCCGCGGGGCGCGCCAAGCCTCGCGCCGCTGGGGCCGAGGGCCCAGCAGACCTGTGATCGGCTGGGGCCCGCCTCCAAGGGCCGTTCGCATTCGCCGACTGCCGCGCGGCCTTAGGGGCACTGGACGTTCGGGGCGCCGAGGAAGTCGCGCTGCTGGGGCGTGCGGAGCGCGCGAAGAGACGCCGGCATCTCTCCGAAGCGCACGCGACCCTCGAAGCGCCCAAACCCGATCCTTCGCCTGCCGCGGGGAGTCATGCTCCACGGCGCCCCCAAGGCGTCGCAGCCGAGCTCGGTGGAGGCCGCGGCGTCGACGTGGGGGGGCCGCTTCTGGGGCTCGGGCTCGACGGCCTAGCCGAGCGCCGGAAGACCCGCGGCGCCTTCTGGCCCATTGATCCTGTCCGCCAGGCCCGCCCCCCTGGAGCTCGAGGCTGCGCCCCCAACGTGTAGTTCGCCCAGGGTGGGCTTGTCTTCCTTCGCCTTCTTGAGGCCGCCGACCTTCTCCAGCGCCTGCGGCAGCGCCAGTGGCCGCGCGTGCGTCGCGGCCGCCTACTTCGACGAGCCCCGATGTCGAGGTCGGCTATCCTGGCCGGAGCAGCGCGGGTGACTGTGCTCGCGAGGGGGCGGTCCGTCGGTCCATAGGAGCAGCCCGCGCGGCGTCGCCAGGGTCTCCCCTGCTGGCCCTGGTCTGGGCGGGCGCTGGGGCGGGCCACGGCGCTGGCAACTGCGTCGCCAACCTGGGCGGCGCCGCGGGCGCCGAAATCCGAAATGGGGACCGGCTCGTGGCGAGGGGCGCGGGCGCCAGCACGCCCGGGGTCGGCCCGGCCTGGAGGAGCGACCCTAGGGCAGCAAGGTGGTCGAGTCGGTTCGAGAAGTCCCTCAGCTGGCCGCCGATGGCGCCCGGCAGCTCGCTCGCGAAGGTCCCGAGGGCGCTCTGACTGTCGTCGTGCGAGACGGCGACGCGTCGTATGGGGTCGCAGCCATCACTTGCGCTGCAGGCCGACGGCCCCTGCCTCGCCGCGCGGCCCGCCCGCCCGCCTGCCGCGGCGGGCGCGGGCCTCTACTTGGGGGCGGCCAGTGGCAGCGCTGCTCCTGAGGGGGGTGTCCTGGCGGGCGGGGCCATAGGTCCCCGGGCCCCGCGAGGAGCCCCTCTCCCTCCGCATCCAGGCCGCCCGACACGAAGGCGACATGCGGCCGACCTGCCCACTCCTGCGCGGTAGCGTCGCGGGCTGCGTCGACCTCGTCGTCCCCTGCGCCCTCGCCATCGTGCTCTTCGGCAGCGAGGTGTCTTCCCCCGTCGATCTGCCCGCCGACGGAGAGCTGGAAGCCAGCGCGTCTCGGGTCGCCTTGTGTGGCGGAACCAAGGAACAGGGCATGCCACAGCATGACCCCGAGGTTCCAGTCCTCGGGCTGCGGAGCGAACTCGGCCATATCGGCCGGCATCGTGCAGGAAACAGACGGCGGGCACCACAATCAGGAGCCCTTCCAGCTCGAGGTCCCGCAGGTCGTCTTCGGTGAAGCCGTCGACGGGGACGGGGCCGTCGAGCTTCGCGAACTTGGCCCCGACGGCGCGGGCCTCGCACCGTTCTGGAGTGCGGGCGGCACGGGCTCCGACGATCGGCATCACGAGGAGTCATGAACGGAACAGCACGTCTCCTGTTTGCTGCAACGCACCGGCAGGCACCATGGTCATCGCGCCCTTGCCCACTCAGACACCTTTACGGTGGGTGGGGACGTGGGGCCATTCTGCTCAGACAGGAGCTTGTCGATCGGCTCAGTCACGGTTGGAAGCCGACGCAGGCGATCGCGCCCGCTGGTGTACCTGCCGTCTCCGAGCCTGGCCACGATAGCCTGCCGCGCGACTGCGCCCCCTTGCGTGTGCTTATAATATGTTTGGTGGGGTGGGGGGTGGACCAGACCGCGTGGCAATGGATGCCAGCTGCAGCAGCGGCCTGGGAACGATCCGGGTCACAGCCTCTGGGTCTTCGACTCGCGGGTGGCCCGAGCACTGGCCGCAGGGCCGCCAGGCATGCACCGCGAGTTCGCTGGGCGCCTGGCGCGGGGCGGGATCGGTTCGAGAAAACTGCGTATCACTCCTCTGTGCTTTCATAGTCTCTGTGCTCACATCATCAACATCATCATCACCACCATCATCATCATCAGCATCAGCAGCAACTGCATCAGCAGTATCATCAGCATCATCAGCATCATCATCAACATCACCATCATCAGCATCATAATCATCATGACCATTCCATCACCGTCAGCATCACCATCACCATCACCACCACCACCATCATCATGCCCCTCCTCCGCACTGCAGCCGAGCTTGTGGTGCTGCCCCTGTCCCGCTTGTTTTATGTGTTCTACGATCGCCGCGCCGCAATATCGGCCGCGCAGCGCTCATCGACCTTACTTCTTCCATGCCGCATGGCCAGTGACGCTGCGGCCGTTGGAGCCGCTGTCGCTGCCGCTGCCGTTGCTGCTGCCTCTCGCCCTTCGTACTTTTCATCCGCCTGCACCCACGAAATGGTCTGCGGACGTCCACTCGTTCCAGCAGGAGGCCACGTGGCGGGCTCCGCCTTCCGCCGACCCCCTCGGAGCAAGAGGTGCGACCCCTTCGGCCCTCGAAGGCAAGGCCCTCTTCCTGGGGCGTGCCGCGTGCACATCTTGCGTCGGAGATTGCCAGATGGCCACGCAAGTCCACAAACGGGCAGAGCCAGTGGGGTCTCGGCGAGGGCCCCGCAGCAGTAGATCTGCCACTGGCGCCCGGTGGCAAATCTCGGCGGCGCCACGAGCGATGGTGAAAGGACAACCACACTTCTACCATGCTGCCGATGGCATCGCTGTCGCTGCTGCTCCTCTCCCCCCTCCGTTTCCGCATCCTCCTCGTCTCCGTCCTCCCTCTCTCCCTCCCCTCGCCGTTCTCTTGCTCCGCTGCCTTCCCCTCGCCGCCCCCCCCCCGCCCTAGCCAGAAACACTGTCCCGCCGAACCCACGTGGGCCCACCTCCGGGCCGTCGGTGGCACTCCTGTAGCAGTCACCCTGGGGCGCCGAGCACACTGCATCTCTCCATGCCCCCAGAGATCCGACGTCGCGAATTTTCCCATACGGGGCCCCCGGAAGTCTCGACCCATTCCCTGGGGACCAACTTTTCATCCGGAGTCGTCTTTTGTCGGCCCCGAGACCTGGCGAGGGCCCCAAAAGGGCCGAAACTTGCGAAAAACCTTCGTCTTGATGTTTTCAAGGCGTTGGATCTCGGGGTCTCCCGCGCTTCCCCGCCGCTCCCCGCACGGCGGGGGCCAGCCCACGAGGGGGTCCGCCGCCTTGAAGTCGCGGTCCCCCAGCGTGCGGGACACGGGAAGGCACACGGGCGGCTTGGACACCACGCCCTGGCCGAGGGCCTGCGCCCTGCGGATCTCCCGGATGCGGTCCTGCGCCCGCCCCCCGATGCCGCCCGCGAAGGGGAGGGAGGAGGAGGAGGGAGGAGGAAGGAAGAGGAGGAGGAGGAGGAGGAGGAGGAGGTGGAGGAGGGAGGAGGAGGAGGAGAAGGAGGAGAAGGAGGAGGAGGAGAGGAGGAGAAGAGGAGGAGGAGGAGGAGGCGGAGGAGGAGGAGGTGAAAGAGGGGGGAGGAGGGAGGAACAGGAGGAGGAGGAGGAGAAGGCGGAGGAGGAGTAGGAGGAGGAGGGAGGGAAGCGAGGAGGAGAGGAGGAGGAGGAGGAGGAGGAGGAGAGGAGATGATGAAGGGGACGAGGAAAGGAGGAGGAGGAGGCGGAGGAGGAGGAGGGCTGAGGAAGGAGGAGGAGGAGGAGAGAGGAGGGAGGAGGAGAATGGGGGGAGGAGGGAAGAGGAGGAGGAGAGAGGAGGAGGAGAGAAGGAGGAGGGAAGAGAGAGGAGGAAGCGGAGGAGGGAGGGAGGGAGGGAGGGAGGGAGGGAGGGAGGGCGGGACGGAGGAGGGGAGGAGGGATGGATGGACGGGCTGGGAGGGGGGGAGGGAGGGAGGGAGGAGGAGGAGGAGGAGGAGGAGGGATGAGGGAGGAGGAGGAGGAGGGATGAGGGAGGAGGGAGGAGGGAGAAGGGAGTGTTCCGGGGTCGACGACGGGGGCGAATAGCCGCCTGCTGAGAGCGATACATGTACGGCAGGTTCGTGTCGTGTCGTCGTGTCGACACTGGCGCGGGGATCGTTCGACCTTGAAGGATCGGCCGTTTCCGACACGTCCGATCGTTCAACATCGAACGATTCTGGGTCGCCAGCGGCGTTCAACATTGAACGCCGGCGGTTGGGTTGCCGCCGGTCGACACGACGCGAACCTACCGTATCCAAGGGCGCGGATGGTCCATACCTTCGGCGAGGCGCCCGGGCGAAGACGTACAATGTCCGTCGCCCCTGTCGCCGCCTCCGAGGGCCAGCAGGAAGGAAACTGGGCCTGAGGGAAGCGGGTCCTGGACCCCAGGAGGCGCTCCCCGCGACCAGCTCCTCACCCTGAGCCGCGATCTCAAGGTCCCGGGGCCCCCGGGAGGGGCCCGCGGAGCTCCGAAGCGGCCGGCGACCTCAGGGGCCGGTTCCCTCAGCACCCGTGTGCTGCATCGCGAGAGGGAGGGGGCCGCATCGAGGGCG